AGCAGCCAGTAGAACGATGCACACACCAGAAGATGCGAGTGGTGTCAGTGCCGAACAACCAGCGACAAGCGGAAGGGTACGAGGACAAGCCGATGTACCTGCCCATGGAGGCTTACGACCAGGACCAGACACGACGCCCAGCGGAGATGATGGAGGAACCAGACACACAGCAACAGCAGCAGTAGACGCACCAGCACGAGGACGAGCAGTGGGACCACCTGACGAAGAAGACGAAGAGCCGACCATTTACGTGTTTGCTGGACGAGGGCGACGCGGTGTCGACAGCTTGGTGTCCACACGACCTCGCCTCAGCAGATGGCGGCCGGACGACGTTGTGGTTGAACGCCGCCGACGACGATATCGGACCCGCACCGGCCGATACATACTGGAGTTCGAAGTTGAACGGCTGGGTGATCGACTTGACCCAGACGGCCCCCAGAAGCTCTGGATCAACCAAGCAGATTACGAGGAGCTGTGGCGACAAGGACGCGTGCACACTGGTGCAGACGAAGATTCGGACGACAGCGACCAAGATCAGGAAGGTGACGACAGCGAGGATGACAGCGATGGTGCAGGGAATGCAATCCCACGTGAGCCCGCGCACTAACTGCATGGCGAAGAAGGTCTAGCAGCACAAGAAGATGGCGGCGATGGATGAGCGGATTAGCGGACCAAGAGACAGCGGATACGGTGGCAAGGACAGCGGCGATGGACGAGCGGGTTAGCAGCGACGATGGATGAATCGCGGACGATTCGTAGGCAGGGGAAGAGAGTAAGCGGATGAAATCCTCTTGGGGGTTCATCTTATCCAGACATGGACGGCAGGCGAGGAGCGACGGAGATCAACGGACAGGAGGACAAGACAGTGAAGTGGATAAGTCAACATCCACCTTCGAGCAGCTGCCACCTTAAAGGAGCAACCGGTTGAAGATCCAGACGACCCGGTATACTCAAGGCAAGTGTGCGGCGAATGGCGATCTTCGTGAGGAGTCGCTGTTGCTTGAATGAGGGAGCGGGAGACCAAGTGCATGTAGTAATAGAGGGATAACCTCAGTTCGAGATTAGCAGAGAAGCAGGCAAGTGCTTCCAGAGAGAGCCACGAGCGTATCGGTCTGATACGTTTCGCGCAGAAGACAAGTACAACAACCAGTTAGCCAGTTAGCCAGTGTCATCGCAGTGTTAGTCCTTGAGTGGGAGGGTTTCCCAAGAGTGTGTTAGAGAGACGGGTATTGTAGCCCCGTAGGATCGTCGGTATCAGCAGCCCGCAACGTCGTGACGTGTCCCCAAAGAGAGGGTAGTGGAGTTAGCCCCCGGTACTAAGAGCCCCCGGGATCACGCGCGAGCGATCTGGCAATAGATCTCGACGGATTCCCTTACGTGCACGCGGCCTAGGAACTCAGTTACCGTTTGCTGTGCGTGTGCTAGGATAGCTGTAGGTGTATTTTAGGGCAGCGGTTTCTGTGGCCACCGGACACCGTCTTCTGATCAGGGACAGGACTGGCAGCTACGTGACGTGGACGACCACCTCAACTGACAGACCACGGTGATCATTGACTCAACTGGTTACGGCGCGCAGTGAGCTACGACCCGAAGTTCATATTTCGAGAAGCTTACTATAGAATGTTGAAGTGTATCAGCAGGGGATAATATTGCGAAAGGTTAGGAAAACTACGGGACCCAATAATTCTTAAAATTGAGTGAAGTCTTGTTACTTCCTACCAAGATGGGCGGTCGGTGAGGTTGTTCATCTTACAAAGTTCCGCTTGTTTTTACTTTGTTGGCCGCTATAATGAACACGGTGCTGAGTATCATAGTGCTGTAGGTTACGCTTACGATAAAGTGCGAGCTGTGCTACATGTGCACGCTGCTCTTACGTTGCGCGAGCGCAAGGAAAACGCACCACATTGGAGTAGTTTACGTCCACAGCTACACCCCCTGCTTCACCTTTAGTATCATTTCGTAGTGGGTTCAGCTATTTGAGAACTCCAATCCTGGGTGGAAATACTACTGTACATATTTGAGTCTCGGATCGAGAATTCAAATACCCACTCCAAATAATATACCCCTTCGAATAGTACCCAAAATCAAGATAAAATTTTCAGTGTTCTCATAACGACTGTAATATTTTCCTTGTTTTAGTACCGGTACCACATTTTAGAGAATAAAATTAAATTAGTGCCCGCTACCTCGAATGAAAAACAACATTCGCTTGTTATCACGTGTCTTTTTAACCAGAGCGCTTCAGAGCTTATAAATAATGTTCAACGCCGCTAAAAATACTTCTGGATTTCACAATTAAGACTACTTCTTAAAAAAACATGAGCACTGTTATTACGCTTGTAAGGTACCTGGTTTCTAAAGAGTAATCTCGCCTGTTTTTGTGTATTTGAATGGGGGGTCACCTTGTTAAATTAAAAAAAAAATCATGCTAAAAAGTATCGGTTGTTTTTTTCAACTTCTAGCAGTAGTATTGTTTAAACTCAAAATATCGGAGTCGAGCAGCTCGCTGAGCTGTTACGGGCTCCAAGGATCCCTTAACGATCGCTACGGTCAACACGGTGGTAACTACTAGCACTGGACGCGCTTGCTTTGACAAACATGCAGCGAAAACAGTAAACTTAGGCCGCTTCTCTTTTTTTCAGCCTAATATCGTGTTAAAGACGAGATATGTGAGCATGATGATATTCCGATGATTCGCAAATTGAAAACGACTGGTGGAGTATAGTGCTTGAATCGCAATATACTCGAGCTCTTCGAGTCAGCAACGAACATGTTTCACTGGTATTCCTCCCTATTTTAAGAAATCTTTTTATGGAGCCAAAATCGAGTCAAAGAACTGGACTTTTGGCAGTTACCTTTTTCCATAGATAGTCACGTCATTCTGATTGCAGTTGAAGCGCCAAACTGTCGCTCGTGACGCGATCACCACCCGATCAGCCGTTTCGAGCTTTCGAGCGCTCACTCTCGGTGCCGAACCTTCGTTCAAAGTTGCTCATTTTTCAATTCCTCGTCCAGCGCTCAAAACTCGAAGCACCTCGACAGCAATGGCTCCGACTGTCCAAACGTGTGATCCTGTACTGGTGTGCGACCCTGTCCTCCTGTGTGACCGAAGTGACTCCGTGCTGGCGAGCGACCCTGTTCCGCCACAGAATCTCTCGTTCGTGCTCGAAAAGGGGGGAGCAGTCAAGTTTGAAGATCGTCCCGTGCCTGAAATTAAGGACCCACATGACGTGATCTTGAACGTACGCTACACGGGAATCTGTGGTAGTGATGTGCACTACTGCACGCACGGCTGTATCGGCAAGTACGTGGTGGATAAGCCCATGGTGCTAGGCCACGAGTCTGCTGGCGTCGTCCATGCCGTGGGATCCGCCGTCAAGTCTCTCAAGGTAGGTGACGAAGTGGCCATGGAGCCGGGTGTGCCGTGCCGCCGTTGCGTCCGCTGTCTCGAGGGAAACTACAACTTGTGTCCGGATATGGCGTTCGCAGCCACGCCGCCGTACGACGGCACACTGGCCAAGTTCTACCGCATGCCGGAGGACTTCTGCTACAAGCTGCCGTCCACCGTCAGTATGCAAGAGGGAGCGATGCTCGAACCCACAGCCGTGGCCGTTCACTTCTGCCGTCTGGCCAAGGTGTCCCCGGGTCAGAAAGTCGTCGTGTTTGGTGTCGGTCCCGTGGGTCTGTTGACCTGCAAAGTGGCTCGTTACGTGTTCGGAGCCACAACAGTCGTCGGCGTGGACGTCAATGAGAAACGTCTTGCGGTCGCCAAGGAACACGGCGCGACGCACGTGTATCAGGGGAAGTCCGGCGTGACACCACAGGAGTCGGCCGAGCAGATCATTGCCGAGTGCGGACTGGGCGACGGGGCCGACGTCGTGATTGACGCGAGTGGAGCGGAGCCCTGCATTCAGACGGCAATCTACGTCGCACGCAGCGGTGGCACGTTCACGCAGGGAGGTATGGGCAAGACAGACATCACGTTCCCCATTGGCATCATGTGCGGCAAGGAGCTCCGCGTGACCGGCAGCTTCCGGTACTCTGCAGGCGACTACCAACTGGCGCTCGATATGGTTGCAAGTGGGCAGCTGAACGTCAAGGGTCTCATCTCGAAGATTGTGCCGTTCGAGGAAGCCAAGGAGGCTTTCGACAATGTCCAGCGCGGTAACGGCATCAAGTGGCTCATTGAAGGACCCAAGTGAGTGCGGACCCACGGTGACAGTTGTACAGATATAGGAGAATGAAACTTTAATTCGTTAGCGACATCAAGCTGTCGTTGTTTATGCAGTTACGGTTCTTGCTTCTCATGGTTTACTTAGCAGTGCCGGCGACCTGTCGGGGTGCAGCAATCGCCATGGCCGTCTGACGTGTCATATTGGGGACAGTGATCGCCACTGAAACATGACACACGTTCGTGCAGAACGAGAGCCACTTCTGCTTGTCCTTAGCTGATGGCTTGGTGAACTCCTGGAGCTCCAGATGACGCCTCACACCATCAATAGCGCAGTAAGACAGTGAGATAGGAGGCTGTTCGCTTGTCTTTCTACGACGCTGCTGCTCGAGCCAACGCTGCGCTTGATACGCGTCCATGCCAAAGTGGTCCCGAGTGTAGCGAGAGCGTTTCCCCAACGCCTCTACCAGACGAGTCCGCACGACCGACTCGAGATCGCGAAAGCTGTTCAAGGTCATCAAGTCCAGCAGCACGAAGCCTGGCGTGGCAGACGACGCCTTCTTGTTGAGATTCTCCACGTGAGAGCACATGGTCATGTCCTCATCAGCGTCCAGAGTCTGGACGAAGCACTTGACACTGCGTTTGTCCTGGCTCAGTAGCAAACGACTGATAGCATCTACGCCAGGCCGACGCAAACCGCTGTGGCCCAGCATCACCGTGGGTCTGTAGAACGCAGGACGAAAACTCGCAGCCCGAGCAGCCCACGGGAAAGCATCCGCGTCAGCTGGAACGGGTGCCGGCTTCGCGTTTGATCCGTCGGCGTTCTCCAAGTAGCAAAAGGCCTTACGCTCAAGACTTTCGAGCAGCAGTTTAGGCATATCTGCCAGCACTTTCTGCTTCCGGGTGAGTTGCTTCCGCTTCTGAGGAAGAATCGTTCGCGTGCTTGACGCCATCGGCGAAATATGCAGCGTGGCGGGAGCAGATACGCTGCTCAAAGTAGCTCCCGGCTCGAGTTCACGAAAGTTAGTCGGCGTGAAGGCGGAAGTCGCCGTGTTCACTTTCTGCCGCTTCACGTCGCCATTCTCGACAGCGTCTGCCGGCCGTTTATTGCTATTCACGTCCAGGCCAATAGCACGGTTGCTTGCCGGACTACTGGATATCGAGGCCGCTGCTGACGTAGATGTAGCTTGAGAGTAGCCGTCGCTGTCTTGTTGCGTGTCCTGGGTATCCGTCGTTACCGTGTCCTGCGTGTAGTTCTGGGACCCTTGAACAGGAGAGCTGGCCTCCACGTCATTGGGTTTTTCTACTTCGCCTTCGTGTGGGCTCTTTCCAGCATTCTTCGGTCGCGAAGGAGCTGGAACATGTGAAGACCCACGTGTCGGGCCGCTGACAGCAGCGCTACCACTGTCTGTATCCGGATCTGTCATGGACACGTCTCCATCGGCCTCTGCTGTCACGGCATTGGACGCATGCCCGCTGCTTCTACTTTGCTGTCCAGGACGCGCTCCACGGGTGTCGATGTACAAATAACTGGGTGCTGCGTCTCCGAGACCGTCGTAATGACGCGGCTCTGGCAGCGCCTGGAACCGGCGCCAGCGTGCAAGTCCTTCCTCGGCGTCGCTTGTGGCCTGGGCTACAGTCACACCCAGCGCCTTAAGACGTGCAGCGAACGCCGCAGTACTAATACGCAAAATGCGTTTCTCCTCTGCTGCATCGATATTCCTATCCATCTGCCGTAGCTGCAGCTCCACCATAGCGTGACGTTCCAAACAGTGGCGAAGCATGTCCACCGGTCGAGAGAAATCCGACGCGTTAGCCACACGCAGCGCGTACTGGTTGGGCACCACCAGCACGTTTTCATCTGCGAACATACGGACACTCAGTAGCTGATTGCCACGTCCATGCGGCTCCGCTTCTTCCGCCGAGAGGATTACGCCCCAGTGGTTGGCAGCGTCGGGCGCCGCCTGTTTGGCACTGGTCGGCAGCAGGGCGTTGTTAAACTCAAGCACCAGTACCACGTCGCCGGCTGCGAGTCTCTGTCGGAGTGAGTTACTGGCATCGGGGCTGCTGGTCGGGGACGTGGTCGTCTCCGCGTCGTGTCGTGTACACACGAACAGGTGGGCCGGGTCCAAGCCGCCATTGTTCGTTGGTCCGGTAGTGGCGCCGCTGCCTCTCGGACAGCGCAAGTGTGTCATGTGGTCACACACAGTGCAGCTCTTACAGCGCCTCATGTCGGTCTCCTGGGTGCCGCACGTCGCGCACGTGTGGCGTGGACACACGAAGCCCGCGTGCGCCGTCTCGTCGTCCGGCAGACACTGTTCGTGAAAATGGTAGCCACAGTCAAGCACAGAGCACTTACGCATGCCATTGGCCTCGTGGCCCATGAAGCCACAGCGCTGGCAGCGATGTAGGCCTCTCAGACACTGCGCACACTTCCAGTTCTCGGCCGCCTGCTTCCGCTCGGCCAGAGACACTGGCTCTCCAACTGTGGGCGCTTGTAGCTGGTTCACGCAATTCTGGTGAGCTGATCGAGCGCAGCTACCACCGCAATGGAGTAGGCCACGCCCGCCGTTGCCGCACAAGAAGCAGTGGGACGGGAAGAGCGTCACGCTGGGAGCCGCCTCCACGCGTACGTCGTTGCGCTGGCGCTTAGGCTTACGGCCACTGGTGGAGAATGGCGCGCCGTCGTCGCTATCTACATCTGGTAGTTCATTGACGCGCGCGCACTCGTGCTCATGGAAAGAGATCTCGTGGGGCAGCGTGCCGGCTGTGTAGACGTGGAAACAACGCGGACAGTGAGCGGCCGCGGACGTCGGGGAGTCAGGAGGCGAGGGGGAAGAGCGCGAGCAAGACGCCAGGTGCAGAGCAAAGGCCGCGCCGGCTGCTGAAGCAAAGCGTTCGAAGCACACAGGGCACGACAACGAAGCTGTGACCGAGTCCGCCATGACGGTCGCAGCTAACTTTAAAATGGGGAATGGCTGTCATTGGTCATTGTGTACTTTACCTAACGTATGTACACCACATATGTGAGTGTTTGAGCTGTGTACACTTGCAGAGCCACAAGAGGCCAGCAACAATGGCGGCGCTCTCATGCGCGTGGCACCTACAACAAGCGCTGCGTCGCTCTCTGCAGGCGTCTTTACCAATGGTCAACGCTTCCGCTCTGCCAACTGCATCATTGGGGGTGCGTCGCTCAGCGCAGAGCGACGCAGACTACCAGACAAGTTTGGCATTACAGTTGGGGAACCGCAAGAAGAAGAGCAAGGCAACTGCTCCACAAACAGATGCTCCAACACCCGAAGAGCTTGCTAAAACCATAGTAGAGAATTTATCTACAGTTGGAGAGCAAACATACCCTCTTCTCAAGGACGCGTTCGTCACCAAAGGAGGCTTCGTGAACCTCGTGCTGCATGACGAGTTTGTGGCACGTCAAGCTGTCCGTATGGCTACACAAGGCGTTCAACCCGCCGTCCTCCCTCTTAGCGAGCAAAAGAGCATTTTAGTGGACTTTGCAGCGCCCAACATGGGCAAGAAGCTGCACGTGGGTCATCTGAGGTCCTCCGTACTGGGCGACACCATCTGCAACCTCCTCGAGTTCCGTGGTCACCGCGTCTCGCGAATTAGCCACACCGGCGACGTCGGCTCCGCTCTAGCCACACTTATTGTGGAGCTCTTGGAGCAAAACGTGGCTCTAGAGACACTCACGGACGCTCAGCTGGGCAAATACTACGAAAGCGGCAAGCGGAGACTCGAAATGGACACTGTATTCAAACATAAAGTGGACGATGTTGTCCTCCAACTGCAACGACTCGGAACTAATGGTGAAGTGGACCCAAAAGTCCGCGACGCATGGACACGTGCGTGCCAAGTGAGCCGAGAAGCCTATCAGCGCATCTTCGACCGTCTGGGCGTCAACGTCATCGAACGTGGTGAGTCCACGTACATGCCACTGGTGTCTCCAGTCGTCCAGAAGATGCAGGACAGTGGGCAGGCAGTCGAGTCACGAGGCGCTCTTGGAGTCTTCCTCGACGGACCAGACAAGCCTCCAATGCTCATTCGCAAGAGCGACGGCGGCTTCCTGTACGCCACAGTGGATTTAGCGTGTCTGCACTCGCGTATCCACGGCTTCCCAGGCGTCGATTCGACTCAGTACGACGAGATCGTGTACGTGACGGACCAGAGTCAGCAACTGCACTTCAAGCACTTGTTCGCTGCAGCTCAACAAGCCGGATGGACACAGAGACAGAATAAGGAGGACGTGAAGCTGACTCATGCACCTTTCGGCTTGGTACTGGGTCACGACGGTACCAAACTCAGCTCGCGTAACGGGGCGTTCGACTACCTGGAGGATCTACTCGATGGCGCGGCGGCTGAGTGTTCCCGTCAAGCGTTGGCCTCTGCTACCACTGGCGTCGTCGCGAGCGAACTTAAGTTGACGCAGGAACAGGTCGACGCGCAGAACCGCGTGGTTGGAGACGCTGCGGTGCGATACTTTGAACTGGCTCAGCAGCGCGAACGCAACTACAAGTTCATCATGAGCAACGTGCTGAACCTGAAGGGCAACACGGGCGTGTACCTCATGTACGCGTCTGCGAGACTGCAAGGTATTCTACGCAAGGCTGGCGGCTCGTCGTGGGACGCTTTTCTAGGCCTCTCGAGCGACAGTCTGGCGGCACAAGACGTGCTGGCACACGCCTCGATCGACTGGCATCCGTCCGAACGCGCGTTGGCGTTGCTATTGTCTCAGTTCGACGACGAAGTGGCCGCTACATTGGCTCATCTGTACCCTCACTACTTGTGCGACTACCTTTTCCGTGTGGCCGGCCACTTCCACGGCTTCTACGAGAACTGCCGTGTGCTTCAAGATCCGCATCAAGACAGTCGCCTACTTCTCTGTGCTGCGACCGACGCCGTGCTACGACGTGGTCTGCAGCTTGTCGGGGTCGAAGCAGTCGACCGCATGTGAATAGAATGCCAATGGTTTCGACTCCTTTGTGTTGGTTGGAGCTACTGTACATGTATTAATACATGCGTAAGGATTCAAATCTGATGATAAGTACTGCTGCACACTCTGAGTCAGTGATGGGTAAAAATGTATTTCAAGTACAGTAAACGGCAAATTTGGTCGGAATTTACAATATGATTATGAGCAAAATCTGGCTAGATTTTTGCTGGGAGGTGCCTATCAATCAAGTGGTCCATCACTGGGTTACCAGATCTTTCAGTTTTCGTTTTTTGTTGGGCAGCACAGATGTTGAGCCTTGACGTCCCGATGGAGAACGCTGAGAGCGGCCCCGAATGGACACCACAGGTACGCGGGCTGTAGAACCTCCTGCCCCTTATCTCGCGTGCTTACATTGCTATACGTGATGCTGCGTTTTCGAACCAGTTGAATCCCGACGTGGTGGCCGCGTTCATGAACAATTTCATCTACATTTTCTTGTCAGAAAAGGGTGTAATCAACAAACGGCAGGCTGATGAGGAAGTTTTGGTCGTCGCGGGAGCGGACGATTTTGAGGATTATGCTACGCCGAGAGAACTTCAAGAGAAAAAATACAGCGTATGTGGATCTGTGAAGGCTTTGATCCGCTTTGCATACGGTAAGAATGTCGTCAGCGCAGACCTTGCGAGGAGTGTAGCGGCAGCTGCGGTGAATGTCTGGATAGATGAGTTTGGGAAAAAGGACTCGGCTTCTCCCCCAGTTTTGTCCCAAGGGCTCATGCAACAGCTCAAGCTCACGTTTTTCGAGACAGAATACCACGGCAATGCGCACGTAAAGTTTGCAGACTATCTCTGGCGTTGCTGGGAGGTTTATGACTCTGAGATCTTCAGGGCCCTGTACGTGACGGTCGTTCAGAGCTCCGGCTTCGGGAAGAGTCGAATGCTGTTCGAGTTGGCGCGCAGGGCAAAAGCTCCGAGCTCTCAGATGAAAGTCCTGTATACCTGCGCTCGCTTACACGAATCGACGGGATATCCAGAGGCGACAACAAATCTCCGCAACTGGTTGATCCCAGAGTCTTCTACCGTCGAGCAGATTACTTCTCGTTTGGAAGCCATCTACAACTATGCGGCAAACAATTGGGAAGAAGTTCAAGGTGAGTGGATCAAGTTGTTCAACGAGAAGAAAAGTGACGTGATTGTTCGGAGGAAGCTGGACCAGCAAGCAGAAAACGATAAGAAGGTCAGAAAGGCGGGCAAGATGGTCCACGATTCAGTAAAGAAGAATCAGGACGGCAAGATGGTGGTGTTGGTGGTTGACGAAGCAAGGTCCATACTTAATCAGAAGGCGGACCCAGGCGCGCTAACAGTCAAAGTCAATGATTTCCGTCTATTACGACGAGCGCTTGCTTTGGTCAACAACAGAATCGGAGCAGAAGGAGGCATTTTCGGGGTGTTTGTAGATACGAGCCCAAAGATCTCGGACTCCGAGTCGGAGGTAAGGCCGTCGTTTGCGTCCGACCCGTCCTCTCGAAATTACACAAACAGCACTGGTGATGCGACGTTTCCTCCTTTTGTGCTGACTCACACTATGGATACCCACTGGCGGGAGTATTATCTGAAATTAAATGAGAGTAATCAAAGGGAGGGAAGAAAGTCCGATAATGATGACATGACCGGAGGTGGACAGGTGGAGACTCTAAGTGAGGAGGCAGAGCTGAAGGCTGAAATAGCTGCGTACAAGGCGATTGTGACCGGGAGCGAGAACGATGCTTGGAATGCGTTGCTGCGCATGGGTCGTCCAATGTGGTGGAGCACTTTCACCGATCGAGATGGATTATCACAAGCTTCTTTTGGGGATCTAGTCACCGAAGCAGCAAATAAGCTGCTGCTGGGAAACGATTTTAAACAAGAAGCCTCATACAACGAGAAGACCATGTTTGGTGTTGCGTCGATGCTCTGTCGACTGGGTGTACGTCCGTATTCCACGTCGACGTTGGCGTCGCAGGTAGTCGCGGACTTCATGGCTGTCCTCGCCTACGTGAAATTTGAGAGCGAGGGCTACTTGAGTAGCTACGCGTCGGACCCGGTGCTTGCGTTGGGTGCGATTAGCGTGTGGCATTTCCTGGAGGACGGCTTGTCCAAGTATATTCTTCCGCAGCTGAAGAAGTTGATACTGGACGAAGCACTGGAGACAGGTGGGATTGGTGAAATGGTCGCTCGCATTGTGCTCCTTCTCGCGATGGACCAGTGTGTGATGGGGGATCGAAGCAAGTCACAGGGCCAATTCGTGTCGGTGGAGTCGTTTTTGAATGTGATGGGGTGCGATGAAATTGAAGTTTATATCGAGGGAATGCTCCCTGGAAACAAAGAAACGTTTAACGAGTGGAAGTCAGAGTGGAAGGACTGGCGCATGGGGTTCACTCACTTCATACAGCTGCAAGCTGAACCGAATGAAGATACGCTGTGGTATTTGCTGGGACGTCGGGCTGCGGGTATTTTCCCGCGCAACCAGCTTGGAGCAGATCTGATGATCCCAGTATTTTGGAACAAAGATGGCGAGAAGGAGCGAGTGTCATTCATGCTCATCCAAGTGAAAAGCCGTTTCCCAAAAGACGATGGTTTCTCCCAAGCAGCATCAAAGAAGCTGTCTCCTTGGTTCGTGTCTGAAAGTCCGCATCCGAAAGGCAAGAAACCTAAGGAGGGTCCAGCGGCCAAGAAACCTGCAGTGAAGCCAGCACTCGAGAAACGCACGGTGAATGAAAACCCCTTGAGCGAGACGCCTGTTAGCGATGTTATTCGTATATGCATGAATCTGAGCAAAGAAGAAACTTCCGGTCCTGAGTCGCTGAACGATTCTTTTCGGTTCATCTCTTCCACGTCGTTGACGAAGGACAGCAGCACACCTGAAGCGCGAGGAGAAGATACGGACGTTTACACGCTTTGTTTTCGCTCGCTGGGTTGTGAGACGTACCCTTTCTTAAAGGAAGATGTGGCTCAATGTCTCGCGAGTATTGTGGCGTCTCAATGGGATCCCATGGCACTTGTAGACGGCGATCTGGAGCGTCGTCGTGTCATTGATAAAGGTACCAAGACCAACACGTTACAGGGGGCTCTAACAACGGCGATACCAGACCATGAGCTAAGACAGACGGCGCGCCGTGGGCTTGCCTGCACTCCCGGTCACGATGTGAAATATCAAGATGAAAAGTCTAAAAAGAAGGGAAGTCGCTCGGGAGGTCAGAAAAGTACTGCTAAACGTACCAAACTCAGAGGGTGCTCGTCCCTCGAGCTTAACGGTTTTGCTTTAATTTAAAAGATTCCTCATATGTCTGCCTTCGGTTACCTTTGAATCAAAGTTTAAATACCTCCAAATTCAGTACAGAAGTAGCCCTCAATAAGCGTAGGGGGCCGCTGATACATTTTTATAAGGTAAAATGCCAATTAGGGGCCGGTGACCAGTTAAGGGCCGGATTCGGTTAGCCAATAGGCAATTCGGAATTTCAGGCTTATCTATTTTCATTGGTCACTACTAAGGTATCATACAAGAGATTATATAGTGAAATCAAGCGGCCCTTAATTGGCACGGCCGTCACATTTATTGCACTGGTTTAATTTGTCCTGATGTAAAACAATTCAATAACCAGGGAAATATACAATTGTGTCAGCTTTTGATTGATGCCAAGGCCATATTTTACTTTTACTGGTGTTTATTTTTCCTTTTCTGTACGGACAGCCGATGTCGAGCCTTGACGTCACGATGGGAGCGCTGAAAGCGTCCCCGAAAGCCCACCACAGGTACGCGTGCTGCTAAACCACCTGCTCTCACCCTCTATGCTTACAGTGCTGCACGCTTTGCTGCCATTTACAAACCAGTTGGATCCCGACGCGGTGGTCGCATTTTATGAACGATTTCATCTTCACTTTCTTGTTGTAGGAGAAGGATGTAATCAAGAAACGCAAGATCAGTCAGCAAACTTTGGAAAAGAAAGATGCCACGGATGCGAGCGACTTTACGCAATATGCAACTCCAAAAGAACTTCAAGAGAAGAAGAACATCGCATGTGCGCTTTTACGCGGTGTAATCATCGGGGCCTACTCAATCGTCAACGACGTTGCGAATAGCGTAGCGGTAGTTCCGGTAAATTCCTGGATAGATGAATACGAGGTTAAGGACTCGATTTCTTTTCCAGTTTTGTCGAAAGAGCTCATGAAACGGCTTAAAATCGCCAGTACAGAGACACCGTACTCGGCGATGCGCACAAGAAGTTTAAAAGGTACCTTTGGCGCTGCTCGAAAGTTTATGGCTCAAAGACGCTCCAGGCCCCGTGCGTGACGGTTGTTCAGAGCTCCGTCTTCGGGAAGAGTCAGATACTTTTCGAGTTGGCGCGCAAGGCAGGTGATGAGGGCTCTAAGATGAAAGTCTTGTATATCTGCGCCCGTGTTCACGAATCGACGGGGGATCCAGAGGTGACAACAAATCTTCGGAACTGGTTGATACTTCAAGTACCAATGTCTTTTACCGTCGAGCTGATTGCTTCTTGTCTGGAAGTCATCTAGAACCATGCAATAAATAACTGGGCGGATGTTTAAGGTGAGTGGATTAAGTTGTTTAACGAGATGAAAACTGATGAGGTTGTTCGGAGGCGAAACGAACTCGAAGATCTCGGACTAATGCGTATCGGTTGCGACCGATCCGTCCTCTCATGATAACATAAACAACACTGCATGGGAGACGTTCCCTCCATTTATACTGACTCACACCATGGATGAACACTGGCAGCAGTAGTCCCCAAGTATAAGCGTAGTACATATACCCCTTTAGACTCGATCACATAGATTGAAGGTAAATCGAGCAAATCACAAGATCGTCGTATTTCTCATAAGGGAAAATGCCAATTAAGAAAGCAACCTTCTCTTGTTTTGATTGTATCTTTTGATCTCAGATCGACAACTAACATGGTTTTCCCCATATGTTCGGGTATTACTTTGATGACATTTCGTTGGCTACTATTAATACAAAAAAGCCTTGACGGATTTTTGTCAGAACAACTAATACTATAGCTGCAGTAAATCCATCACTAGACCTTTCAGTTTTCGTTTTCTATCAGGGAGCACAGATGTCGAGCCTTGACGTCCCGATGGAGAACACCGAAAGCGGCCTAAAAAGCCCACCGCAGGTACGCGTGCTGCTAAACCTTTTGCTTCCCCCCCCCCCTGTGCTTACAGTACCGTACGTCACGCTGCGTTTTCGAACCAGTTGAATCCCGACGTGGTGGCCGCGTTCATGAACAATTTCATCTACACTTTCTTGTCAGAAAAAGGTGTAATCAGCAAACTGCAGGCCGGTGAGGAAGTTTTGGTCGTCGCCTATCCGCGCGATTTTGCGAAGTTTGCTACTCCGAAAGAACTTCAAAAGAACAAGGTCATCGTTTTCGTAGGGTTATGCGTAGCAATACCCTTTGTCTACCCAAGGGAAATCGTCATAGATGTTGCGGATAGTATAGCGGCAGCTGCGGTGAATGCCTGGATAGATGAGTTTGGGGAAAAGGACTTGGATTCTCCTCCAGTTTTGTCAGATGAGCTCATGCAGCAGCTCAAGCTTACGTTTTTCGAGACAGAATACCACGGCAATGCGCACGTAAATTTTGCCGACTACCTCTGGCGCTGCTGGAAAGTGTATGACTCGGAGATCTTCAGGGCCCTGTACGTGACGGTCGTTCAAAGCTCGGGCTTCGGGAAGAGTCGAATGCTGTTCGAGTTGGCGCGCAGGGCAAAAGCTCCGAGCTCTCAGATGAAAGTCCTGTATACCTGCGCTCGCTTACACGAATCGACGGGATATCCAGAGGCGACAACAAATCTCCGCAACTGGTTGATCCCAGAGTCTTCTACCGTCGAGCAGATTACTTCTCGTTTGGAAGCCATCTACAACTATGCGGCAAACAATTGGGAAGAAGTTCAAGGTGAGTGGATCAAGTTGTTCAACGAGAAGAAAAGTGACGTGATTGTTCGGAGGAAGCTGGACCAGCAAGCAGAAAACGATAAGAAGGTCAGAAAGGCGGGCAAGATAGTCCGCGGTTCAGTAAAGAAGAATCAGGACGGCAAGATGGTGGTGTTGGTGGTTGACGAAGCAAGGTCCCTACTTAATGAGAAGGCGGACCCAGGCGCGCTAACAGTCAAAGTCAATGATTTCCGTCTATTACGACGAGCGCTTGCTTTGGTCAACAACAGAATCGGAGCAGAAGGAGGCATTTTCGGGGTGTTTGTAGATACGAGCCCAAAGATCTCGGACTCCGAGTCGGAGGTAAGGCCGTCGTTTGCGTCCGACCCGTCCTCTCGAAATTACACAAACAGCACTGGTGATGCGACGTTTCCTCCTTTTGTGCTGACTCACACTATGGATACCCACTGGCGGGAGTATTATCTGAAATTAAATGAGAGTAATCAAAGGGAGGGAAGAAAGTCCGATAATGATGACATGACCGGAGGTGGACAGGTGGAGACTCTAAGTGAGGAGGCAGAGCTGAAGGCTGAAATAGCTGCGTACAAGGCGATTGTGACCGGGAGCGAGAACGATGCTTGGAATGCGTTGCTGCGCATGGGTCGTCCAATGTGGTGGAGCACTTTCACCGATCGAGATGGATTATCACAAGCTTCTTTTGGGGATCTAGTCACCGAAGCAGCAAATAAGCTGCTGCTGGGAAACGATTTTAAACAAGAAGCCTCATACAACGAGAAGACCATGTTTGGTGTTGCGTCGATGCTCTGTCGACTGGGTGTACGTCCGTATTCCACGTCGACGTTGGCGTCGCAGGTAGTCGCGGACTTCATGGCTGTCCTCGCCTACGTGAAATTTGAGAGCGAGGGCTACTTGAGTAGCTACGCGTCGGACCCGGTGCTTGCGTTGGGTGCGATTAGCGTGTGGCATTTCCTGGAGGACGGCTTGTCCAAGTATATTCTTCCGCAGCTGAAGAAGTTGATACTGGACGAAGCACTGGAGACAGGTGGGATTGGTGAAATGGTCGCTCGCATTGTGCTCCTTCTCGCGATGGACCAGTGTGTGATGGGGGATCGAAGCAAGTCACATGGCCAATTCGTGTCGGTGGAGTCGTTTTTGAATGTGATGGGGTGCGATGAAATTGAAGTTTATATCGAGGGAATGCTCCCTGGAAACAAAGAAACGTTTAACGAGTGGAAGTCAGAGTGGAAGGACTGGCGCATGGGGTTCACTCACTTCATACAGCTGCAAGCTGAACCGAATGAAGATACGCTGTGGTATTTGCTGGGACGTCGGGCTGCGGGTATTTTCCCGCGCAACCAGCTTGGAGCAGATCTGATGATCCCAGTATTTTGGAACAAAGATGGCGAGAAGGAGCGAGTGTCATTCATGCTCATCCAAGTGAAAAGCCGTTTCCCAAAAGACGATGGTTTCTCCCAAGCAGCATCAAAGAAGCTGTCTCCTTGGTTCGTGTCTGAAAGTCCGCATCCGAAAGGCAAGAAACCTAAGGAGGGTCCAGCACCTAAGAAACCTGCAGTGAAACCAGCACTCAAGAAACGCACGGTGAATGAAAACCCCTTGAGCGAGACGCCTGTTAGCGATGTTATTCGTATATGCATGAATCTGAGCAAAGAAGAAACTTCCGGTCCTGAGTCGCTGAACGATTCTTTTCGGTTCATCTCTTCCACGTCGTTGACGAAGGACAGCAGCACACCTGAAGCGCGAGGAGAAGATACGGACGTTTACACGCTTTGTTTTCGCTCGCTGGGTTGTGAGACGTACCCTTTCTTAAAGGAAGATGTGGCTCAATGTCTCGCGAGTATTGTGGCGTCTCAATGGGATCCCATGGCACTTGTAGACGGCGATCTGGAGCGTCGTCGTGTCATTGATAAAGGTACCAAGACCAAAACGTTACAGGAGGCTCTAACAACGGCGATACCAGACCATGAGCTAAGACAGACGGCGCGCCGTGGGCTTGCCTGTAATCCCGGTCACGATGTAAAATATCAAGATGAAAAGTCTAAAAAGAAGAGAAGTCGCTCGGGAGGTCAGAAAAGTACTGCTAAACGTACCAAACTCAGAGGGTGACTATTTCCTCGTCCCTCGAGCTTAACGGTTTTGCTTTAATTTTAGGCAGTCGTTATATCACCCGAATGGCAACATGCTTTAGGATTTGCACACACCCGAGTGCGCCCGAATGCTACCCGAATGGGGGCATTCGATGTATACATGCGAATCATGTATAGCTGGATAAATAGTTCAG